TTAATTTTCAATGGTGAAAGTAACTATAGTGAAAGTGGCACGAGGTATGCGTCAGAAAGAAGGTCGTACGTATATGTTATCTATGTGTGAACGTATATGGGGGGAATCGTGCATGGGAACGATCGTGCACGGTAAGGGGGATGGGTGGGGGGTAACTTGCATTGAACAACGTGCATGTAAACACGAATACACCTGTAACAAAATAGGCGTGTTTTCGTTCAGTTTAATGCAAGATGTTTCTCCTTACTCGACTATACTCCGAAAAAGATTTTTCTTCTTTTTTTTTTTTTTTTTTCAACTTGAAATGTTTGCAGAAGAAAAATAAAAAAAAAGAATCATTCTTTTGCACTGTGCCAAGATTTCAATTTATTATGCAAACATACGATACTAGTCAAGAAAAATGTGTGATTTCCATCTAAACGCGTATATATGATGATCGGATCTTTATTTACGAGATTTTTTATAACGTAGATTATTTTTGACGTAAGTAAGATAATCGAGAATTTCCTTCATTTTGCATTTCAAACTACGAGCTCATCTCGAGTCTGAATATCTATTAGTAACTTTTTATGTTACATCTTGTCTCTTTTTTTTTTCCTCTGTTTTTTTGGTTTCTACGAGTCGAAAGAACTAACGTAAGATTCATTTGCGCAATCTTTTTCCACGTCTTTATTTTTCTCGTTTTTTTTTTTTTTTTGCACTTTGACCGTATCTTATTAAAATAATACTTAACTACTTGTGGCATATTTCCTCAAACTTGGCCTTCGTAGGAATATAGTAATTGAGCAATAGGAAGAAGAAGAAAAAAAAAGTAAGGAGATAAACCTTGAATTAATATTAAAGATGTATTAATAATCGGAATTATACGTAGACCATAACCAGTGAATATAATTATCAAAATATACACGAATTATATTCCGCGTCTTGACCTTTGGTCAAAATGATTGACGTAAGAATGTTTAAGAGCGTTGTTAGACCGGATACAGTCTTTTACGATTATTTATATATATGGTCAAACACACTGATGTTTTGAAGATACTTGAAAATAAATGTATGGTCTAAAGATTTTTTTCTTTTTTTTTTTTTTAATTTTCTTAGTATATCTTTTTCTTTTTTTTTTTTTCTTTTTTTAAAGGAATTTGCATTATTTTTAAAAATTTGATTAAAATACGATACGAATACATATTTATTTTTTAAAAATAACATAAATTTAAATTACAAACTATTCTTCGAGAATAAATAAAACGATCAGACACATTTTCATGTATATTCGTAAATAAAATAATTTTATGTTCTAATTATATTATGTAAATTTAACGTGCAACACGTGGAGTTATCTACGTACGAAATTTAAGATATTTGATTAGGTCAACATACGGTTGAACCATGTTGATACGGTCAAAGAAATTTAATTTTGTTTGAAAAAATATATTAAGATGTTAAAAATATATATTTTATTATTCAACTTTTTTGATATTAATATCAAGGATATGCATAATAATTAATTATATAAATTTAACGTGCAACACACAGAGTTATTTACGTACGAAATTTAAGATGCGAAAAAAATTGAATTTTGTTTGAAAAAATATATTAAGATGTTACAAATATATATTTTATTATTCAACTTTTTTTTTATATTAATCAAGGATATACATAATATATTCTATCAGGTTTTAGACACTCATAATATATAATACATAGTACAAGGTCATGCTTAATATTCAAATATCAAGAAAGAAAAGGATTAAAAATAAAAAGAAGAAGAAAAAAAATGTTCAAAAATTCACGTGGAAGAATAGTTTCTCTTATTACTTCCTGACAAAGTTAAATTCGTTTAGGAATAACTTAATCTATGTCAGGAAGTACCTCGTTCGAAAAATAAAGTAATACAAAGAACACAATTCATGATAATGATTTCAATCGTTTATTCGGTTAATTACATTATACTATTAATTAATGCATATTTATTCGTTCGAGTTTAGGCATTTAACGCTTTCAAAGGTTAATCAGATGTATTTGATATTCATTTTTAATTTATATGAGGTTCATTAGCAAAGTTAATTTGTTTTTTTAATCAAACGAATGTGAACAACTTAAATCAAAGAAAAGAGCTTTATCATTGAAGTATATACGTACGTTCGGATGACTTAAAAATAGTATTTATTTTGTGTAACTTTCACCAATGGTTATTACCACAATAGTGGTACTTTCCTATGGTATTTTCCAAAAAAATATTTGACATTTTTTCAAACAAGACGCAACCCTGACGAAATATATCGTAAAAACTTGTAAAAATTATAAATGTGGTCCTAATAAGTAGAAGATTTCAAAAGATATGCCATTTTAAAATAATAACTTTTAAAACGTAACGAAACAACATTTTTAAAAATTCAGACATACAAAAATTGTTTCGAATATTTAAATGTGTATGAACCGATAAAATATTATCTTTTCAATACATATTTAGTACTATAAGCATAAATGTAGTTAAGTACGTAGATACTAAACACATTTATAATTACATTTAAGAATATTTTTAACTTATTATTATTTTAAGAACCAATGAGAATATCGCGTTCCTTTCTCTTATTGGCTATTTAAATGTACAGGATATTGAATAACTTATAGGTAAATGAAGAAAAGTTTTGTCCATAATCGAAAGAGAATTTCCAAACGTAAAGAATTTATGGGGCATACACGTAATATAAGAACTTGAATACGTTGACAGTTAGCTATTTGGAAAAAACAAAAATCACTTTCCCCATTGCTAATATCCGGCTTTGGATAAGATAAAATTTGTTCTCCTTAAACTTGTGTAATTCTTTGTAATAAGTTAAACGAGATGGCTGATCGTTTCGAATTTTCCTTTCGTATCTCCTGTCACATTTTTCCCTTTCTCTATCTTTTTTTTTTCTCTCTCTTTCTCTTTCTCGTTGAAAATGTAATCGATTTCAATACGTTAGATGTAACAATTAATTAAATCCTTTTTTTTTTAAACAATTTTCATATTTATTTATAAAGTAATCATATATCTGTTATTCTTCGAATTAATGTCTACATTATTTTCGATTACTATGATTCATTTATTACGATAATTGTCGAATTTAATACTTCATGGTATACCTAGTTTATTTATCTTTTAATTTTCAAAAGTATATTTTTATTTTTTTAAATCTTTTTCACATGCGTAATATATATAAATAAAAACAAACAACTTTTTTTCCTTTCTATTGCAGAATTTTTGGTTACACAAATTGTAGGATACATTTTTATTTTAAAATTAAAAGCTCATATAATTAATTGTTACGTCTAATATATTGAAAAAAAATCGTTGAAGGAATTATCGTTTACCCTTTCTCTAATTCTAAATTCTTCGCGAATTAATAAAAATAACAGCTGACTCGAAATGTTTTAGCTAAATTAACATGAATTTTAGGAAAATCCGACATCGAAATAAAATAAAAATAAATTTCGATAATTCTTTTTTTTTTTTTTTTTTTTTTTTTTTTCTTATCGAATGCCTACTATCAAATTTGTTTAAGTATTCCGAATATTATAGGAAATAATTATTCTGTTATTTTCCGAAATAATCAGCTTATTATTTCATTTCGTCATTTCGGTTCTTATCGTTCAAACAACCGTTGTAAATTTCTTGACGAAATAATATTAATGTTTTCGACCTCATTATCAAAAAAAAAAAAAAAAAAAAAAAAAAAAAAGAAAGAGATTAAAACGATTGACGTCAAGAAGAATATCCATATAAATTTACATTCCTGTGTTTTGTTTAAAATAAAATCCATAATAATCCAGGAGTAGATTTTTTCCTCTCTTAATATCTACAATTAATATTAATCATAGTTTTTGATAATTAATTAATTAATTAAAAAGAAAAGAAGAAGAAGGAATAATTCATCAAAAAACATTGATATATTATAATATAAATATTATATAAAATTCAAGAGAATAATGAATATGTATAAAAAATATTATTGAAAAATGATTGACGGTGAGATAGGATTGAATGCTATAACCGCAAGATGGCGTTCGAGTTCTCGATGGCCCTAATCTTTCAATTGGTTAGAGAAAGAAAGAAAGTATATATATATATATATATATATGAAAGTATATACATGTATATACATATAATATATATATAATATATATATAATTTCTTACATATATATATATATATATATATACAGTAAGAGTGTGAGAGAGAAAGGTAGCATTTGGAGAGGGAGGAGGAGGAAGAGGGCGCTATGATCATACGTGTCGAATTTGGCCAGTCGTAACGCGTGACGTTAGACGAAACGTTAGATTGGTTGTGTCGCGTGACGTGGTGGAGCCCTGTGACCAACAGGGGTAGGGGCAGGGGGTGGAAAAAAAGAAAAGGGGTTTAGGAGGAATTGTAGGTAGAAACGGATTAGGTTATCCAAAAATTGACTTGTTGTGATATGCGCCAGGGGGGGAAACAGTAATGCACAATTTGGGATCAATGTGTTGGTAATCAACGGTGGGTCCCAAATACATCGAATAAACTAAGGAATAAACTTAGTGAAAACGAGTGCTTGAGGAACTTGTATCTTCTTCTTTTTCCTCCTCCTTTTTGTTCCTTCTCCCACATTATGTTTCTCTCTCTTTTTCTGTCTGTTGTTTGCTGCTGCTACTGTTTTGTTAGTAGTTGTTAGAAGCTTATGTGAAAGTAGTTGTGAACGCGCGCACCAAGTATATTCCCTCTTTCTCTTATTCACTCCTTCGTTGTCCGATTCTTCCCCCTCCCCTTACGCTGCACCAGTGTGGTGGGAGTGAAGAGAAGAAGGATAAAGAAGAAGGGAAGAAGAGCGGAAGGAAGAGAGGTGGAGGAGGTAGAAAAGAGAGAACGGAACGTTCACAAAACGTTTCAAAGCGGTCGTCTACTTCCTCAGTTTAATGATAATCGTTGAAAGGTTTGGATGTACGATATAATAATAATAAGAAAAAGAAAAAAAAGAAAAAGAGAAGAAGAAAAAAAGAAAAAGAAAGAAAAAAAAAAAGAACGGCAGAGAAATAAAGAGACAAGAGTAGGGGTGAAGGGGAATTAAAGGATAGGGAAATAGAGAGAAAGAGAGAGAGAGAGGGGTGAAGAGGGGAATTATATAGTTGTAATATATAGGGAAGCGCGCGCGCGCGCAACACATTAGAGGAAAACATAGGCGGATGAGAAAGAGGAGGAGGAGGAGGAGGTGGTGATAGATAGAGATAGATAGTTAGATAGATAAAAAGATAGAAATATAAATAAAGCTGTGTGTTACTCGATTCGAATCGATCGTAGAGAATTGTCAGGCGAAAAATAAGGGGAGACACTCCGGGTGGACTTTATGTGTTCGGCCAGGTGACAGGAAAGGTAAACCCGCGCGTGCGAGAAGAAATTGAGATTGAAATAGGAAGGGAGTGCAGAGGAAAAGAGAGAGAGGGATTGAGAATAAGAAGAATAAGAAGAAGAAGAGGTAAGGTGCACCGTTTTGCAACCTAAAGGGATCGTACAAAATCTCTTTTGAATTGTGATAGTATTGCAGTACGAAAAGGATAATAGGAAGACACGTGAGAGATTGAAGATTTAAAAGAAAGGAAGAAAAAACGGAAGTTAATAGACAGACGGATAAAAACAGGTTAGTATATTATTATTATTATTATTATTATTATTATATTTATCTTCGTTAATATATTGTCTTGTCGAAAATAATTTAATGAGAGCTTGCAAAAGTTGAGGCGTGCCTGCCTACTATCTACCAATCAGCTAACCAACCAACCAACCAACCAACCAGTCAGCTAGCTAGGTTTCCTAACCCGCCTGGTAGCGCGCGCCTTTTGAGGTTAGGAAATGCGATCGATTCTCGATGTGCACGAGAACACGCTGTATAAATGCAGAAAAAAAAAAAAAAGAAACGGTGTCTCCTAGTCTCGTTACTACGAGAATTTTACGATGTGAATTCTAAATTCTACTTTTATATTCGTTATTTTAATATTAATCTAACACTTTTTCAATCTTCTATATCTTTTCACTTGATTATTATGGGGTTTTTTTTCGTTAGAGTTGACAAGGCGTGTCATCTTTAACATGCGTGCCGTGTACACGTCACAATTTCTTACGATTAACAATTTTTCTCTTATTTGTGGAAATTTTCGAGGATAAAAAAAAAAAAGTTGATAATAACTAATCGATTAATTTGTCGATTATCAAAATTTCGAGAGTAACGTCTCGTGGTTGTGTTCATTCATCGACCCGGCGACTAAAGAAAAAAGGAATGCGCCCTACGATGCGCTCTTTTCTTCCCTTCCTTTCCCTTTTTTCTCTCTCTCTCTCTCTCTCTTTTATTCCCCCACCCTTCCATCCACTTTGATCTCGGCTAGTAGGACAAGTTCCCTTTTTTTCGATTCCCATACTCGCGAAATTAGCATTTTTATGTTTGCTATCTATCTAACGGTTCGAAATCCCATAAAACTTAACGGTCAACGTTTCAAGGGTGCAACGTGTTCCACATTAATTCCAAATTTGCGCGCGAGCTCTGAAAAAAAAATAAATGTTTTTTTTAACACTAGATTTACTGATATTTTGTTCACTATTTTTTTTAATGACTTATATACATTGTTTGAATGAAGAATTGGGTAGAGGGGAGGAATTAATATTTATGTGTATTTTATTACGGCATTCCAAATTAATATATATTTTTAGAAAATAATATATATACAAGTTTTATATGTAGCGAAAATATTTGAGATGAGTTAAATTAGCTAAGTCCGTAAATCTAATGTTAAAACCATAGACCCTGTATAGCGTCTTTATTAATTATTTTCTATTGACAAATGCGCTTATTAACACCTGTGCATTATCGTATTTATTATTAAATGCATACCGAAAATAAAGGAGTCACTTTTTAAAACGCGCATGATGCAATTAATATTTGTCCGATTTTAATATATAAATATGAAATATTTGTGTCCTGACAATAAGAGTATAATTGTATTATGTTTTTATAAATTAGCATAGAAAAAAAAAAAAGAAAAAAAAAACGTATTCGTTAATGCAAAGCTATATTGCAACGTGTTTGTTTGTTTGCTTGCTTTGTTTTTTGCCGATGCGGTTTTTATTAAAGAATATTATTTATTCAAATAATTATAAAATTAAAACACTTACGAATTCTCGCTTTGCAATTCGATTTAAATTATTCATTAAACTTTAATCTGAAATACAAAATTATCTTAAAAATTATCTCCTCGTTTGTTTCCGTTCGAATTTTATCCAAGATTTCGTACCGATAACGCATACAATCCTATTTATAAAGACTTTACACTTTATCCACAAAATTATGCAATTTTCATTTCGAATTTATTAATTACGTTTTAAAAAAGAAAATTTATGCATCCTGCATTATCGTGATTTGGAATTAATGCGCACTTCTGTACTGTTATAGTTTCTTTTCCTCGTTCTATAATTATTCTTGATATTGTTTAAAAAACAAAAATGTCATTCGTTCGTTTAACGATAATATTAATAACGTTATCGTTTCGATAATTCTTTTTAAAATGTTACCTAGTTTTATAAAAATTGCACTTAAAAAAAAACAAGAAAAAAAAAAAAAAAAAGGATCAAAAATGTAGGGCGCGTAATTTGAATTTCCCGCTAAACGTCTAATCGTCATAGTAAAACGCATTTTGCATCTCGAAAAAATATTACTTCACGTAGTAACATAATTTATTGTTATCTAATACTACACGGAGAAAGTTAAAGTCATGCGAAACGAGAACGAGTAGGAATTTAACCTCCATATTTTATTTTCCATACGAGTACTCTATGGTGTGTGTTTTATTTCTGTTTGTAATACTAATTATCTCTTTACGTTAACAGAAAGAAAAAGAAAGAAAGAAAGAAAGAAAGAAAGAAAGAGAGAGACTATTTTGTATAAAATGTAATGCGATTCGATTAAGTATTTTAAATTAACATTCACTATACATACTTGTGGAACGATGTAAATTAGTTCATTGTAAAGATAGTGAAATTGAAATTAAAATGCAACGATCTCTCTCTCTCTCTTTGTCTAACCCTCACAAAAATTTTATCAATATTTATTATACCATATTGATTTTTACTGTTGCAAAAAAAAATAAATCATGAACACCCTTTCTTTTCTAAAAGAAAACGCTTAAAATATTTATTATTATTATTATTATTAAAGTAAGCCGATAGTTCCTGTGTGTTTTTTTTTTTTATTAATATTTTCAAAGTATAAATTAAAAAAAAAAAAGAACAATCCTTTATATGCAGTTTATATTATTTTTTCTTCTTCTTCTTCTTACATCTTGCCCCCCTTAGAATATTTTTCTATTTCTTTCTTTCTTTATTCCTTTTGCTATTCTTTTTTATCTTATTTTTTTTTTTTCTTTCTTTTTTTTTTTTTTTATTTAACCACACTCCGCGTCGTCCAGGCGCCGGATACGTCACGAAAGGGAAACACACACGCACGCACCTTGACCGTTTCCAACTTGTAACACAGGGGGGGTGGTGGTGGCGGGGTTGGTGGTGTGGGGTGGTAAAAAAGCAGAAAAAAAAATAAAGAAAAAAAAAAAGAATAGAAAGAGAGAGAGAAAAAATTGGATCGATATCGAAAGGAACAACGTGTAATAACCAGTTTTACTTGCCTAGTTAGTTCTAGGCTAGGCGTAGACCATAGTATAGAAAAAAAAAAAACAATTAATATAATAATCTACAAAATATATCTATTTATATTCCTAAATATATTTCTTTAGATATTCTAAGATCTTGGTTAGTTAACATTACTTGGACTTTGATTTATTGAAAAAACATACATTGGCTATTACACACACATATACACATATATATATATACATATCCTTTCGCTAATGGTTAGAACAAATAACATTTATTTACCATTCCAACTTGTCTCTAGAATATTTAACGTTTATACGCAATAACCTGTGTGGTCAGCAGTGTTTTACGGTTTTTTATCTTAGTTACACGTTTAATGTATTTTCACTAAAATCTTATTATCGTATAAATGTATGTTAGTGTGTATGCATGTGTGTCCGGCGAAAGTCAAATGAACGTTTTAATTGAACGTTTTAACGAAAAAAACAAACATACAAAAAAAGAATACTAATGCATAAATATAATAGAAAGATTTGGATAGAGGAAGGAAGGGTTGGTTGGTTGGTTGGTTAGTTGGTTGGTTGTATTGGTTAACTCTTTTATCATAGTTATATCATCATGAAAAACACTTAATACATGTATCTTTTTTGTTTAAACATTAGTTAGTATTATTATTATTTTGATCCTATGACAAAGTAGTAGTGAAGTTTAGAAAGTCTTTTGAAACCGATGTTAAATCCATTCCTTTTTTTTTTTTTACTATGGAAAGAGACACGAGTTTCGAAGGAAAACGTAGACGAAATTATTCTACCGGAACTATTAGAAGAAGAAGAAGAAAAAAAAGGAACAAAAAAAATGCATTATAAATCTTGTTCTTCGTATCTAGAAAAAAAGTTAGGAATAAGGAGAAAAAAAAACCTAATGAATAAATATGTACAATTAATGTGCATTTTTATTTGATTGCACGTATTGTAGGATTTTAGTATTCAAATCATTAATACAAAATTAATTGTTTTATTTAATATAATATCATATATATATAAAAAAAAAAAGCATCGAAGTTATATATCATTGAATGAAGATTTAAAAATTAAAAATACCATAAAGAAAATTATTATGTATTTTTTTTTGTTTGCATCATCGTAATCAATGATATATTTGTTACCCTTCAATCAACTTACAATCAATTTGATTAATCAATAAAATTATTATCTCCACTACTCATTTCTCTGAAATGTTTTTTTTTTTTTTCTTTTTGTTCGTAATCAATGATAAAAATTCGATATATTCTATCGATAAAAATCTCGTGAATTAATTCAAATAAATCCAACGATGCAAAATATATCCTCGAGATATTTGCATTTAAAAAAGAATAATCCGATTAAAACGAGACAATAATATTATTGATTTTTTTTTCTGTTTATTTGATTCTTTAGTTCGAATTTATTATATATTTTAAATATTGTGTTAAATAATTATTCGATTTTTTTTATCGACAAACGTTGATTTCTTCATATTAAAATATTCTTTGTTTCTTAATTAAAAAAAAAAAATGACCACATTCGAGCGTAGATTTCTTTGACCTTTTTTAAAAAAAAAAAAAAAAAAAAAAAAGAAAAGTAAAAGTATAAGTAAAATCGTGTAAGAAGTAAGATGTATGTAACTTCCGTGTCTGGTTTTCTTATCTATACTCTTCCACGTGAATACTTCGTTTGAAATGAAATTCATTTGTGTTAGTTCCATTACCATCCATACCATCAAGATGGTAAGGGTAATATCGTAAAGGGTTAAGTATATGTTCCCTTCCAATTTCTATCAATTTATATTTTTCTTTCTTATTTAAAAAAAAAAAAAAAAAAACATTTCTATAATTCAATCTAACTATTTTCGGTTTCGATTTGTTATTTTTTTGTTTGTTTTGAGCATACTTTTGTTCGTAATTTAAAATCATCAATCGATTGTATAAAAATACATAAATGAATGTTTATTATGGTTGCAAATTATTTTAAAAAAAAAAAAAAAAAAAAAAAAAAAAAAAAAAAAAAAAAAAAAGAAAGTAATTATGTTCACGAACATACGCGTTGAAATTAAATTAAGAA